CCAGGCACCTTTCCCACAGAGCACGCGGCCCGCCTTCACGTGGCACGCCCTCACGTGGCATGCCTTCACGTGGCACGCCCTCACGTGGCATGCCTTCACGTGGCCCGCCTTCACATGGCCCGCCCTCACGTGGCCCGCCTTCACATGGCCCGCCTTCATGCAGCACCCCCTCACGTGGCCCGCCTTCACGTGGCCCGCCTTCACGCGGCATGCCCTCACGCGGCATGCCTTCACGTGGCCCGCCTTCATGCAGCACGCCCCTCACGTGGCCCGCCCTCACGTGGCCCGCCCTCATGCAGCACCCCTCACGTGGCCCGCCTTCACGTGGCCCGCCTTCACGTGGCCCGCCTTCACGCGGCACGCCCTCACGTGGCCCGCCTTCACGTGGCCCGCCTTCATGCAGCACGCCCTCACGTGGCATGCCTTCACGTGGCACACCCTCACGTGGCCCGCCTTCACGTGGTTTGTCTTCACAAGGACACCCTGGACTTTCCATCTTATTGCCTGAGACACCTGCCCTCACGCAGAGGATCCCAAACACAGGGGCTTTGGGTGGAGAAGCTTCTCTGGGAACCCGAATCGGGCAGGAGGTACCTGTTCTCGGATCCTCCGACTCACCATCCTCTAAATCTGCACTTACTGGAGCCGACAGCCACGCCGTTCGCACTTAAACAATTAATATGCGTGAAGACCTCGCAAACATGCAGCGGGGGTGTGGCTGCGTGGATTATAGGACGGCTTCTCAGAAAAGGTCATTCGTTTTTATGATCCTGTTTAATTTGGATTTGCCGGGCTTCCTTTCATTATCCCACAGGCTGGTCTTAATAATCAAGATCTATGTTATGTGCTTTGTGGCATAATTGAAGCCGCTGCTTAATTAGAAAAACTACCTCTCGACAGAGGAAATCAATGATGTAATGGGGAAGTGGGGGAGGACTTTGGTTTGAGAGTGGATGGAATTGCCTGTCAGTGCTGGAATGCACACACACACACATGCACGCATGTGAACACAGGCACACACCTGCACACATGTGCACACACCCATGCATGCATGCACGTGCATGCACACACATGCACACCCACACATACACACGTGCACACATGTGAACACGTGTGCGCGTGTACACGCACACAAGTGCACACTCACATATACATGCATACACATGCATACACACATGCATGCCCGCAAACACACATGCATACACACATGCACACGTGTGCACGCCCACAAGCACACATACACACACATGCACACACACACACACCCTTACATCTGTGTGGGTTTCTGGCGACCCGGCCTGTCAGCCCCCGCAGGGAGGCCGTGTCTGACGGATGATCGGCCCCTGGGGGGTAAAGCTGTTCATGGAATCAAAGTCTGACAGTTTCACGTGGGCACAGACTGACCTCGCCTCACAGCACCCGCTCTCTGTGCAGGACGGCAGCCGCCGCCAACACCCGTCAACATCACAGACCCGACTGTCGGCATTTTGCCGCGTCCAGCCCCAGCGTCCTCCCGAGTGTCCCCAACCAGCCTGGAGCCACGCTCCTGACGCCGGGACTCAGGGATTGGGGGGCGGTCGGGGACTGTCTCAAGGTCACGGTCAGGCTGGGCTGGAGTGGCTGGCACTGGCCGGACACCTCTCTCAGGGTCACGCAGGGACGGTCCGTGTGAACCCCCGAGTGGGCTCCTGTGGGCTCCCGCCAAGCACGCGGTTCCTACTGTGGCCCTGCCCAGCGCCCGCGGGCAGAGGCGGTGGGTCCTTCCCGCCCCAGCCCTGGCTCACACATTGTCGCTGTGCCTTCCTCTCTTGGGTTCCCTGACACAGAGGCCGCCCAATCCTGGGGTGGGGACACAGGATTCCAGAAGGGATGCTTCTGCACTGGTCTTTGGAAAACACAATCTGCCATGCTGGGTTATATGAGGAAGGTCAGGTCCTGGGGGAAAATGCATGTTCTAGAACAGGAGTCAACAAACTACGGCCCAGGGGCCCTGCCTGGCCACCATCTGTCCTAGCGACAAAGGTTTAGTGGCTCACGGCCACGCCCATTCACACGCACATCAGTTGCGACTGCCATTAGGCCACGAGACCATGTGGCTGGAAGCGTGAAACATTTACATCTGGCCATTTTGGGAAGAGGCGGCTGACCCCCCCAGAACACTGGCCAGAGGGGAGTGTCGCTGGGCAGCTGACCACCCGGTCCTTCAGGTGTCAAGGAAGCAGGACCCCAGGCCAGGCAGGGTGGCTCTCGCCTGTCATCCTAGCACTCTGGGAGGCCGAGGTGAGTGGATTGCTTGAGGTCAGCAGTTCGAAACCAGCCTGAGCAAGAGGGATACCCGTCTCTACTATAAATAGAAAGAAATTAATTGGCCAACTATAATATAGAAAAAAATTAGCCAGGCATGGTGGCACATGCCTGTAGTCCAGCTACTCGGGAGGCTGAGGCAGGAGGATTGCTTGAGGCCCGGAGTTTGAGGTTGCTGTGAGCTAGGCTGACGCCACGGCACTCACTCTAGCCTGGGCAACAAAGCGAGATTCTGACTCAAAAAAATTTTTTAAAAAGGAAGCAGGACCCATGTGGGCAAAGCTGGCAGGTGGGACCAGAGTCTGGCGCCTTAGCCGCAGCCCGACCCAGCTGGGGAGACGCTTCCCTCGAGAGGCCCCTTCCCCTGGCACAGCTCTGGCCTTCACCTCCAACGGCCCCTCCCCTGTGAGCACCCCCACTGCAGGAACCCGGATGAGACCGGTGACGCGCAGAAGCACCTCGGTTTGCAAAGCTGCCGGGTCCCGGGTAAGCTGCGGGGCTTGCTGGGTGCAGGGGCTCAGACGTGTGGTCTGGGGCCGTCTCTCTGCCCCCTTCCCATGCCAGGCCCGTTTTGCACAAGCTTTCCTCCACCTGCTGGTCTGCAGGCGAGAGCTTTGACCCCCAGGATGGCAGTACCGGGGATTAGTGCCCTCTCGGGAGGCAATCCGGGGAGCCCCCTCCTCCCCTGCTGGGAGGGTGCAACCCGGACACAGCCCTCGGCTCACCTGCAGCACCTGGCCTGGACGTGCAGCCTGGGGAACTGGGGAATGACTGTTGATCATGTGCCACCTGGTCCGGGGAGCCTTGTCACAGCAGCTCCGAGACCCCCACCCCGTCCCCCGCCCTCCTCCCCTCACCCGACATCCCCTCTGGCTTTTCGTAACCCCTCCCCATTCCAGGCCTGTCCCCAGGGTCCCAGCTCCGGGGACACCTGGAGACACCCTGCGCAAGCTGCAGGTTCCCCACGGGGCTCCCCGGGGGGCCTCAGGGGAGAATTAAAGCAGTCGGCAGGGTTTCAGCGGGGGAGGCTGCAGTCAAGACACTTCTCAGATCTTTGTTCTATCCTAAATTTGAACGCAGCATCCAGCTCTCTGAGCACATCTCAGGATGTAAATAATTCAGACTTCCGAGTTTAAAAAATATATATCCAAAATAAAAAAAAATTAAGTATTAAAATAATGCAAGTTATTTGGGGACTTAAAAATAGCACAGCAGATGGAATATGAGGATATAATAAACCTGGAGGTGTCATCTCTGTGCCCCACGGCCCGACCCCGGGAGCTGGTGATGACTCGGCCCTCGGGAAGCCGCCGCAGACCCGGGGCCCCTCTCTGGCCGGGACACCTCTGGGCGGTAACTCGGGACCATCCAGAAACCAGGGAGGAAGAGGAGGCTTAATTGCTCCCGTCCCCAGGGCCGGAGCCACCGCCATGGGCCGCTCTCTGTCACTACTGGGCGCTGGTCAGGAGGGCTCCCTCCTGCGCTCGCCCCGTCTCCCCTTCTGTCAATGGATGGAGACTCGACTGCTCCCAGCAGCTCCAAACGGGTTTCCACGGCACACACAGCTCAGGCTCGGGAGGCGAAGGGACACGGAGACCCGTCTCTGGAGCCTGGAGCCCCCGAGTGAGGTCATGGGGTTGCAAAGCCAGGTGGGGTCACTTCCTTCTACCCCCGAAGGTGCTGACCCTGCCCTGGCTCATCTCGGAAGATGTCACTGCTCCCTGGCTTGATGCCAGGGACCCCAGGGCAGTCTCGGCCCCTCCCCCAAGCCCACCCTCCGTGGCCACAATTGGAACCCACAGCGTCTAGATGGTGACACAAGATGGCAGTGAGGTCCATATATGCAGGATGTTGGGGCCAACGAGGAGCTCCGCGGTTTCCCAGCGACTGTCCCCTGTCCCTCCAGCCCCCCACGATGCTGACCTCAACCTTATTTCCCATGGGGAGCATGTGACCAAGGCTCGAGCAATCAGTGAACTCTGTTCTTAGGCTGCTGGCTGTGATTGGCTCCCAGATGGGCACATGACCCAACATGGGCCAATGAAAGCCATGCCTGAGATTATTGCTTGAATTGTTGCCGGGAGAGACCGTTCAGAGTCTGAATCTGTCAGCTGGGACAGTGTGCACCCCCAGCAGCCTGAAGATGGGGCTGGGCTGGTCCTCGTGTCCCCTGTCCCCTCCCCAGGCCCGTGTGGCCTGCTGGGCTAGGCTCCCTCACCCACTGGCTTGGGCTCCATCCAGGGAAACAGCAGCAGAGACTGACAGGTGGGAGGAGTGAGGGCTCCCCGTCCCCTCCCTACCTGCCCACAGTGTCAGCAGTGGTTTCTTCTCTCCAAAATTTCTGTCCCTGCCACGTGTTCACATCTCCAAAAGCTCCAGCTCTTGCTGGGCCCCCATGGTGTTATTTCTGCCCTTTGTCCCCTGGGCCTTGGATAGAAGAGCCTCCCACTGCCGCTACTTCCTGGGTGCCCCGACACCCCCATGGGTGTCCTGGCCTCTTCCCATCCCCACTTGAGGAATCCGACAATTCCTGCCAGGATCTCGACCGACACAGGGGCCAACCTGGAAGCAGGACGATGCTGTCGGCCATCGTCCCCTAGATGTGAACCCTCTCTGGGGTACTGGGGTGCTGGACCCCGGCGCCTCCCGGAAGTTCCTGGCAGACCCCTGTGGGAGGGCGGGGGCTGGGCACTCACTTTTTGGGCCTGTAGTCGGGGATGGTCCTGTCCAGGGAGATGCGGTTGCTGAGCTGAGCGTTGTAGCCGTACTCCTCGAACGCGCCCTCTGTCTCGTGGCTGTCGTCCCGCAGGGTGGTGGCCAAGCCGCCCTGGCCCAGGCCCCGCGGCCCCTCCACCAGACCCATGGGCTTGGCAAGGCCTGCGGGGAGAGCAGGAGAGAGAGGGTCAGGCAGCCCCGGCGCAGACCGGCGCCCCACCCCAGACGCCCTCGCCCCATCTCTCCCTAACTCGGCGCGTTGCATATAGACTGCAGGACCCCATTGCAGGACCCTGGAGGAGGCAGGGAAAGAGCTGGGGGGCCAGGGCGGGGTTCAGCGCAGGGTTTGGGGCAGCGACACTGCGCTGTGTGAGGCTGCAGGGGTGGATACATTGTACATCTGTCCAACCCACAGAACCTACAGCACAAGAGGAGCCTGCAGCCAAGGGACTTCAACTAGCAACAATGTATCCAGCAATGTGTCAACTCCAGACTTTAGCGAACAACAACAACGTATCAGTATCTAGCAATACTGCTCCGAGGATTGTGACAGACACGCCAGGTCAGGGGAGTTTTTGTAAAGCGCTCTCACGCCAGGGGACGCTGTGGGTGGGAACTCTCTGCTCAATTTTCCTGTCAATCTGAAAAGGCTCTAAAACGTAATGTCTGATTAATGTTCAAAAATATTAACTTAGGCCAGACATGGTGCAGGAGGATCGCTTGAGCATCACTTGAGCTCAGGAGCTCGAGACCAGCCTGAGCAAAAGTCAGACCCATGTCTACTAAAAATAAGAAAGCTAGCCGGGCGTGGTGGGGCACACCTGTAGTCCCAGCTCCCCGGGAGGCCGAGGTGGGAGGATCGATTGAGCCCAGGAGTTGGAGGCTGCAGTGAGCTACGACGACGCCACTGCACTCTAGCTTGGGTGACAGAGCGAGACTCTTGTCTCCAAAAAAAAAAAAAAAATTCAACTTAAAAGATTGCAAAGAATTTTAAAAGATTAACTTTAAAAAATGGAAAGCAGTTGCCCACAACCTCACCTCCCCTGGAGGCCGCCGCTACACTCTAACTCCAACACAGCGCGCACCACGGAACGCCACCCCGGAAGAGGAGGGCAGAACCGACTGACGCCTGCAACAGCTTAGATGAGGCTGGAAAACGTTTCGCCGTGTGAGAGCACACACGCAGAAGAGGACGTCCTGTCCGGCCACCCACGAAAAGCTCAAGAGCAGGCAGAACTGCCCAGGGCGGGAACGGGGCTCCCCTCGTGGGTGGGGAGGGGTTGGCGGGAAAGGCGCCCACAGAACTTCCGTGGCCACGCGGGGCCGGCGTCCGGGCCGGGTGTGCAGCGTGGGAGCCCGAGAAGCCGGGCCGAGGAGGGTTCTAGCTGGCTGGTTGTGCCAGGACGGTGGATGGGGCTCAGAGACGTCCCCACAGCTGCGCCCAGAGCGAGCAAGGAGGCGAGGGGAATATCTGGGCCCGGCAGAGACGGGGCAGCCAGCGTCCCCCAAGCCCATCCAGGGCCTGGAGGTGGTGGGAGCTGCTCAGGGGACAGCAGCCCTGAGTCCAGGGGCGCGGACCTGGCTGTGTCATCGGGGGACCTTGTTAGTCACAGGCCAACACTCAGGTCCACATGGGTGGACAGTTGGCATCGCCCACGAAATCCAGACGCAGCCAGTCCAGGACCCCACAGAGGGACGCTGGCCTTGGAGCCGAGTCTCATGGCCTCGGGCTCGCTGGGGTGTAGACCTGCCCTGCTATTCAGAGCCGGCATCACTCACCTGTGGCCCGGGATGGGGCCATGGGGGGCTGCGGGGCGGGGGGCTCTGGGGTGGGGCCTCCAGCCGGGAGGGGAGCAGAGCGAGAGGCAGCCTCGGGGAGGTGGGTTCAGGGTCACAACCATCTGCCGTTTCCCCACCACGGTCCTCCTCCGGAGCCGGAAAGATCTGTAGCAGCTTCACAATCGGAACCCTGCAGATCCAACTTCCCTTTTAAGGAAGGTCGCATGCGGGGCACCTCCCTGCAGGATTTCGGGGCTATCTGCCCCACCGGCCCCCTCTCTTAGCTCCAGCATCCGCCCCTGATCTTCTCTCCGGAAGAATTCCTTCCGCAGAGGCGGGAGGATCGCTTGATCCCGCCAGGAGGCAGGGCAGAGGGAAGGAAGCCGGGGAAGATGTGAAGGTGCGAGATGGAGCCGCCAACGCCGCCCGGCTGTGCGGGACCCGTGGGCGGCAGCGGGCAGGTGGGACGGCCACCTCCAGCCTGGGGAGCCAGCCGGGCCCTCAGACCCATCCTCGCCTGTCCTGGCCTCCCCTGGCCCGGCTTCACGAGTGCTCGGCGCTGCTCACTGGGGTCGGCAGTGACGTGGAAGACCGGGCTGCACAGGCAGGTGTGGGTGGGACTGTGTCCTCCGGCCCCTGGGCACCGAGAATGTGACCTTGTTTGGAAACAGGGTCTTTGCTGATGTGTTCAAGGTCAGGCGAGGCCACCCCAGAGTGTGCCGGGCTCCGGGCCCCGTGCCGCTGCTATTGTCCTATGAAGAGGGGACAGAGACACGCGGGAGGGGCCACAGGAGGAGGAGGCAGGGACTGGAGTGATGTGGCCACAGCGGGGGACGCCTGGGGCCCAGCCAGCGGGACGGGAGGGAGATCTCCCCTTCTACAGCTCCTGGAGGCCCTGCCGGCACCCTGGTTTTTGACTTCTGGGCTCCGGAACAGGGAAAGACTCCAGTGCTGTCGTTTAGCCGCCCAGCGTGTGGGGACTTGTGGTGAGGGCAGCCCCAGGAGTGACCGCACAGCCTCCTGCCACCCACCCGTGCGGCCCACTCGGACCAGCAGACAATGCTTTGCTCAGAGCCAAAGAGAACCGTCACTGCGAAACAAGGAGGAAATCCCAGAGGACATAACCAAATGGAAAAACATACCACGCTCGCGCATGGGTAGAATCAACACCGCTAAAATGTCCTCACGGATTACAGATTCCATGCAATCCCCATCAAAACACCAACAGCATTTTTCACAGATGTAGGAAAAAATAATTCAATGCTTTGTCTGGAAGCAGAAAAGAGCCAGAGTGGCAAGAGCAATCCCGGGCAAAAAGGGCAAATCCGGGGGCATCGCCTTGCCAGACTCCAAACCACACTACAAGGCTACAGTAACCCAAACAGCATGGCACTGGCACAAAAACAGAGACACGGACCAATGGAACAGGATAGAGAACCCAGATATCAACCATCTACCTGCAGCCAACGGATCTTTCACGAAGCAGACAACAACACACGCTGGGCAAAAGAAACCCTATTCCATAAATAGTCGGAAATTGAATAGCCACATGCAGAAGATTGAAACTTCTGGGGGACTTATTTCTTACAGTCCTGGAGGCCGGGAGTGCAAGGTGGAGGGGCTGCACCTGGCGGGGTCTTCATGCTGCCTGGGCCATAGAGGAAGGTCAGAGAGCCCAGAGCACATGGGGGAGAGAGAGGGGAGTCTGGGGGGCCCAGGAAGGAGGGGAGTGGGGGAGGGGAGGGGCCAAGTTGCCCCCTGCCAGGAGCCCACTCAAGGTAGGATCTTCTGGATAGACCCTGGGATCCCCCAGCATCCCGGCTGACACCTCCAGCCCTGGCCCCACCCGGGCAGGGCTGTGCGGGCTGTGCAGGTGTACCCAGACTGAACACGGCCCTGGCTGCGAGGACCGGGCCCCCCTGCAGGTGGGCAGAGACAAGCCCCTCCCCGGACAGGCGGGGCAGGTGTGCTGGGCCCAGGAGGAGCACCCAGCCCTGGCGCTCAGCTCTCACGAGGGAAAAGGCCGCAGTTTGCTTTTTGTCCCCTCTTAAAGTTATCGTGGAAGGTGTCCGCTGAGCTGTTACAGGGAGGGCTCAACCTTGCTCTTAGCGAGGGTCTCGTCCTATGTGCTTATGCATTTATTTATCACTTACGTGTTAATTACATATTTATGGTTGTTTACTGATTTCAGGAATCAAACCACTAGCTCAAAGATACAGGCATTTTTATGGATCTTGCTGCCAAATTACTTTCCAGAAGGTTCAGATGAGCTTTAGTTTCCTGCCAGCAATATATGCTTTCACTCCTTTAATTAGAAAGTGCAGTTCTTCTGATTGAAAAGGTCATAAATGCTTGTGGAGGAAATTACACACACACACACACACACACACACACACACACATGCAGGATCACCCCGGGTCTCCCTCTGCAGGGAAAACCAATATCAGTCCTTTAGTGCTCCATATTATTTTTATAAGATTATATAGAATGGCTTCAGCTCAGTTCAATCAATATATACGGCGTGCGTACCAGTCTGCATTCTGTTCTTATCACCGCATCTTAAGCGTTTTCCCGTGTCACTAAAAACGCTTCACAAACGTAACTTTTGATGGCTGCAAACATAAAATGCCGATCTGCGGCTGCACCGTGTACTCGCTCCCCCTCCCGGCGTCTGGGAGACGCTCACAGTGCGGACCAGACGACGGGCCGTGAGCAGGGCGCCCAGCCAGCACCTCGCAGCGGGTCGGGGCTGTGGGTGGGGACGGGGACCTGCTGCTGTGCCGGGCGGGTGGCTCGGAGCCTGCAGGAGGGGCGGGGAGGGGCCACGCCTGTCAGGTTCCGCGTGTGGATGAATCACGCCGGGGAGCCCGAGTGAGCCAGACCCCAGTTTCTCAGACACGTCCTCTCGGTCCAGCCCGCGGACGGTGACGACAGTCCAAGGACAAACGGCGTCACCGGGTGTCCACGTTGGGGGGATGGGGGGCCGTGGGCCACTGGGTCGCTGCCACCCCGGGGGTTTGGGTCCAAGATGCCAGATCTTCTAAACTTTCCAGGGAAGGCGGGACTGCATAGGTGCATGTCCCTAAATACCAGCCACTTGTCCACATTCCGGGAGAAACGCCTGGCGTTAGACACACGCCGCGTGCGCGTCTGCCAACCGGCCGGGACGGGCAGGGAGCCCTGCCCCCAGAGAGCTCAGGTTCTGACCCTGGAGCCCCAGTTTGCTGCCTCACGTGGTCTAAGGGGCTTTGCAGCCGTGGCTAAGTCGAGGGTGTCCTGGGCTGTCGTCGCGGTGGCCCTGAGTGCAGTCACGGTGTCCCTCCACGCGAGAGGCAGAGGGGATTCGACGAGAGAGGAGACAGCGCGGGAAGGGGCGGAGACTG